TCATCCAATAAACCCTCTATTTTGGAACTATTTCCCTCATATTTCACCACTGAAGGAACCTTTCTGACAACTGCATTAACATATTTGCATGTGATGATTTACACCATGCACATGTGTTTAAATGTTTTGCGGCATATAAGTAAAGAAATGAAGAGCATATACTTCATTTTGGCAACATGCCTAATACATCATGTTTTTGGACTAATTCAAAGTGAATATACATAATCCTATAAGAACCAAGACTGAATCATTTGTGAATGAATGAAAACAATGAGAAATGACGTTCTGTTGTGAGGCACTGACTTAAGGGTGTGCAGGTTTACATTTGTAGTTATGAGAAGTACCATTTTCATTTGAGAGTTTGGCCAAAGTGACCGAGTAAAATCTGTAAAACATAATCATGTCCTTCACAATTGCATGAAATTGGGTCAATACTGTTGGGTATAACAACTGTGTAACACAGAGTTCCGATAGCTGACAGGGGAACAAGCACACTTACCCTAAATCGATAAATGAAATGAAGATAAAATGCCTCCCCATTGTCCTCACCCTGTGCATTGGAGTCTTCTTTCCAAACCCTTTTTATGTCTTTTTTTCACGTACAAAAACAAATTTTGTGCAGTTTTTAAAAATTTATCCGTGTTTTTTTTTAATTTAGCTGAAAGGAGATTGGTGAAAAAGTGAAAAATTTACCACTACAGTCGTGGAAAAGGACACCTCTTTATATTAAATGCAGGGGCATGGGAACCAGGTGGGGGGGGGGACTTGTACCCCCCTAGTTTTTAATTTAGATTTATCCCCCCCCCCCCCCCAAAAAAAAAAGATCTTTGCAATATCCAACTCTCTCTTATGCCATTGATTAAAAGTATGATTATATGTATTAGCACATGCACTCTGTCACATGTATGCATCGTGATTATTAATAATTACCTCCTACCGTTTATCTACAAACTAGAACCCTAACCCAGCCCAGCTTGGTATTGGTGCCCAACCTGTATCAGCATGGATTTCAGAAAGATTCCCTCTTTTTAATAAAGGGTGCTGTGGAATTAGTCGTTTTGTGTATTTTACCGCTGATCTTAGTGACAGAAGCACGGGGGAAATTCCTCCGGGGGGCTAGCGTGTTACGCTCCTCTGCAGAGTACGCCCTATGGATCAGTGTGTTTCCTTGTTTTTGCCTCCCGGTTATCGCAGGCCGCGGGCAAAAGCCCGACACTGTTTGGTAGATCTTTACTAAGCTGACAAATCTGATTGGCATTTGGCTAAATTGCTTTCTAAGACCCCAAGGGGTTGCTGATTTAAACAATTGAAATCGATCTGAAGGATTGGGGTGAGGGAGTCATCTCTTATTCAAAGTCAATTCCCAGCCGTCTGCAAAAGACTCTGACCCCCAGTTAGTATCTGCTGCATGCACACTTTGTGTGTGTGTGTGTGTGTGTGTGTATGTTTGGGCATGAATATATTACTTTGTAGTGGCATATATTACAGTGTCATAAAAACCTGTTATTTTGATGTTGTGCAGACCAACATCAGTGCTCCCAAAAGAGGAAACTCAATTATATAGCAATCAAAAAACTAAGGTTAGGGCTGAGTAGGCGTTAGGGTTGTCATTGTTGGATTAGGGTTTTTTTTCCATAGAAATGAATGGATGGTCCCCACAAAAGATATTAATACATGTGTGTGTTTGTATGTATGTGTTTGCATGTGTGTGCGTGTGTATTGTGGAAGATGGTGTTCAGAGTTCGGAGGTTTGGGTGTGTCGATGGGCAGCGCTAGACTTAAATCCCTTGCATGTGTGGATGTGCATCAGTGTTTAAGGGCAGTTAGTGTTAGTGTGTAGGCTGTGTGGGTCGTGCTTTAGTGTGTGTGGAGTACTAGTGTGTGGGTCTGTGTGCGTGTTCCGACACGGCAGGCCTTCCACTTGGTAGGCCTTCCACTTGGAAAGTGGTACTTCTCCACTGCTCATTCACAGCAGGAGGTGATTTCCGAAAAGCTTAAATGTAAACCTGCTTCCATTATTATAGAGACTTGTTCTGCTCTGCATAATGAAGCTTGAAATGTTGAATTACGTCCTACAAGCGTCTCTCTGGGGTGGACTGGCGAATGGCCCTTTGGCAGCACAGCACCTGGAGGCTTTCAGGACCATCTCAGCTGGGGTGTCTTGTGTTCGGCACATTGGAGGTGGCCGGTAAGGGAAACCAAGACATCCCCCCCCCCATCTCAATGTCCGTTTGCAGCAGATGGGTGGGACGATGCCCTCACGGAAAGCCTTTCCTGGCCATATTGATCATCATTTAATCAGGCTTTAATCGTGTCGAGATCAGTGGGGAAGCAGGAGATTGATGGTCAAGGCCCATCTTTTATCGATTCCTGCTTAATGAATAAATGTAAAATTTAAATGCTCCCCCACCCCTCACCCCAATACCATCACTTCAAGAAAAGAAGGAAAACATGGACCTCAGTTGAGGTCAGTAAAGAGAACATTGCTTTCCGAACATCACAATCGCTAAAATCTTGAGATGATAACTGCCACACTGAGAGCTATGCTTTCCGGGAGTTAATGGTTTTACAGGAGGAGTAGCAATGCGTTTAACTGAATGTTTCAAGGTCAAGCATAAAAATCTAGAGTAATACGGCCGTTATTTTCTGTGAGCGAGGCACTAATATCCGCCTCTTCTTGACTTTCAAGCTTAACTGGGTTCTTTTCAGTTCAGTGTCTAAATTTATGCCAATTTAAGCGCAGATTTTAAAGAAAGTTTTAAAAAAGGCTGTGATGTTGATCTATATTCCCCTCTCTCCGAGCACACCTTCAGCGTAATTGATTCAAATACCAAGGGCCTAAATCTGTTACGACATAAAAGCCGCAATTTCGCCAGATCCATATTTTTTGAGATTTCTGATGCTTTCTCATTAAAGCGCTCGTTAGGCCTGCCGCTTCGTAATTGATTTTCGGGCTTCCCGCACATTCCTGTTGGGAGAGGACTTTCAAAAAGTCAAATCCTTCACCCCCCCCCCCCCACCCCTTGTCGCTTTTTTCCCGCCGACTGCTTGCAGACTGAGCGCATTAACAGTCAACCTTCTTCAGGCATGCGTTTAATGCAGGGTGAAGAAATTGTGTCTTCCGTGGAAGTGTGGGCATTTTTTTTAATCCTCCATGACAGACCTTGGAAAAGACATGGAGCCTGACATTAACTAACGCTCATTTGTGATGTCCATCCACCCCCCCCCCCCCCCCTCCCTTTCTTCCTAACAGCGCTAAGGGACAATAGGATCGAGTTGGTGCGTGCGTCATGGCAAGAGCTCACCATCAGCATCAGCGAAGTGACGCTGCAGGACGAGGGCCTGTACACCTGCTCTCTGTTCACCATGCCCATCAAGACGGCCAAGGCGTACCTCACCGTTCTGGGTGAGTGCTCTGCAGAGCCCCCTGGAGGCCAAAAGAAGAGAGGTAGAAGGAAAAAATATATAATTTTACAGAATCAAAGTTTAAAGTGCAAACCGTCATGGTTACTTTTTTTAAAGTGGGAAGTAGGCAGGTGGGCTTGAGGAAGTGAAGGAATGCCAGTTTCACACCCAGTGTTTGCTGAAAGCATGACGTGTCACTTCCCTAAGTCAGTGACGGGCAGTCGCAGAAGGATGCAGATGGAGACGTTTATTGTCACTAATTTTACCCACAACAGTTGCAGAAATGTGACACGTGCTGCTTAAAAAAAGGAGTAGTGAATATTTATAGTTTCCTGCCTCTGTCTTTGATTGCTTCCAAGAAGGACGGATTCACAAGGGTGAGAAATGTCCTATGTTGTACTACTGTACTACTTCTGATTGTCTGAAGCCAGCGTTGGCTTTGCATTGTGTATTTGAGGCCTAAGTTGACGTGAATTATTTCCACTGTACCTTTGGAAGTCACAGGCATAAACAAAGGGGTAGACTTTTAACAGCTATCCAAACTATCCAAAAACTTGACTTTTTCTCCAGGGGAAGGTGTCCCAGTCCCGTGAAAAGTGGGGGAGGTACTTTTTTTTTTTTTTCTTTACTTCTGGTTGGGATTTAATTAACAGGAGTCTTTCAGTCTCCTATCCATCACCAGGTGCTGCTTAAAATGGTTCCTGAAGGTGCAATTATCTGACAAATCAGACAGCGTGCTTTCTCTCCCGCGTGAAGCGAGCATCACCCTGCATGCTGAGAAACTGCCAGAATTTTTTTTATTTTTTTATTTTTTAAAAACTTTGTTTGTTTCTATAGGAATGACAGCGCATACTGTTACTCCATTTCCTGTCGCTAAATTAATTAGGTGTCCAATTACCTTGCCTGGTTAGCATGATTTGACATACTCCATTAAGTCCATTAGCACACTGTATAAGACAACTTGCATGAGAAATGATTAAAAACCCATGGTGCAATAACTGTGTTTCGCAATGTTCAGCAATATGAGCAGAAATCGATAAATTGATAACAAAATGGCAAGGCCACTTAAGGTCCCCTTCCCAAAAGTAATTAGTGTCAGCTAACAGTTGGAGAGAAAATTCGCTAATGCGTAATTCATAATTGCTAATATTCAGCTGACATTAGGACAGATTTGCAAACGGGCCAGGAGACTCAGTCACAAAAAAGGTACTTCCACTTCATCTGCCAAATTCCGAGGTTCCAGCTCATTTGTGCGGAACAAATCTAAACTGGAAAAACAGAACTAATTTAGGAGCAATGCATGGTAATGATGTGGCAGGTTGAAATCCAAAATCGATACCTTGTTGACAGAAAAATATCCAAATTTATTCCTGAATAATACAGAATAGAAATATATAAACAGGAAAATCCAACATTTTGTGCGTTTAGCCATAGCAACATAAACTCTTTTGGTTTCTGAATTCAGTTCTTGCAAAAATGTCTAACATTTCATGCAGATAATCACACAAATATAAAAGTTTTGCTACAATGTGGTTGAAGCATCTTGCAGTATATAGATTAAAGGAGGGCCCATATCTAATATAGTTTACTTTTTCTAGCATAAACGGTAATGCTTTACATTAATTAAGTGCACCTTCATAATGCATTCATAGAACATTCATAAGCAGCATGCAAGTACACCGTAACATCCTAAAATCCCTTAACAGCTTTAATATACATTAATAGCAAACATTACATGATTATACAATTATAATATTTGTTATTATTATATAATGTTTGTTGATAATGTATATTACATCCTTTAAGGGATGTTAGGATGTTGAGGTATACATACACGATGTTTTATGAATACATTATGAAGGTGTACTGAACGTTTTATGAATGCAATATAAAAGCATTATGAAGGTGCAGTTAATGTAAAGCGTTACTGCATAAACTATTCCGTATTTGTCTTTGTGTCATTGGGATGGTGACCTTTCACCCTCAGACAGACCCCCAGTGGAGTTCATGGCACCAAAATAGCCTACTAGCTCTCAGTAAAATGTTTTAAAATTAGTACATGTCAGACTCCATTGCTATCAAAAGTTTGCCGGCTGACACCCTGCTGTTGTTCCCTCGAAGCAGAGAAGCTAACCTGAATTGTTTCAGTAAAACAATATATCAAGCCAGCATGCTAATTAATCTTGAAGGCATTCTCCTAAGAGGGCACTTGGAACAGCGCAGAAGCACAAAGCAGTAATGCTACATTCCATTTGAACTTGGAAACTCTGAAATTCTGAGTTCCTAGTCAGACATTTCAACTGGTATGCCCCCTGAAGTCGGAATTCCTGCTCGGAAAGTCAGAAGAATCTATACAACCCCGACCTCAGAATTCAAGATGGCTGCGCCCTTTATCAACAGAAAAAAGCCATAGTTTTATACTGTTTATTAGCATTTTGGCTTATTTGTGGCTCATTAAATCGGTCGTACACACAGTACCGTCCAACAGATACCACATAATGTGATGTTATCAGCTATCAAATAGCTAACGTTTAACCAGACTAGAACTGGGCCTGATTCAGAAAGCAGGATTTGTTGCTTAGCCGGATAACTTATCGTATTTAAGGTCACCTGGGCTAAATGTAAGTGACCGAAGATAAAGCCCATTTAAACTGGGGCACCTTAAATCCAACAAGTTGTCTGGCTCAGCAAGAAATGTTGCTTTCTGAAAAAGATCCCCGGTATCGCTAAATGCCTTTCTGACTTGTTGTACTGGCACATGGTTAACTCAGGTGTGACGTCATTCCCAGCTCCGACTTCCAACCTCCGAGGTAAATGGCATGCAGCATAAGCTTTAACACCTGTCATCGCTCCTTCACAGTTCTCCACCTAGTAGTTAGAGGACTTCACATATGTGTGTTGTAGCCCTTAGTTCCAAGGTTAACCACAATTCATTGTCTGTCACCCTGTTTGGCATTTAAAATGAAGGAATCAATTTAGCCAGCCTCTGTTCTCAAATCTTGGGTTCCTAAATGACACCTCTACAAGGCGGTAACATAGTGTACCGCATTGACTTCAGTCGGAACCAATTTGGCTCAATAAAAATGTTTTTTAAATATTCCACTCAAAACCATCACAGATAAAACGCAAGCGGACCCGAAAATCGGAACGTCTTCTGATTCTTTTAATTCGAAGGAAACCGACCTTTTTATGTTAACCGCAGTGCCTCTTTCATTGTCAGGAGGCGTCATCGCATTTTATCTGAGAGAACATTTATTAACTTTCAAAACAATGGGAATCTTTTTATACCCCGAGCTCCAGTCACACGTGGGGGGGCTGTGTTTATTAACCTTAGTGGCGGGTATTAAAGCAAGCTGAGTGCGGCATCTGTTTGAAAGGTTTAAAAAGTCAGCGGTACAGACACCTGCTAGGGGGGCAGCTTTCCCTGCAACATGTTTATTTAACAACAAAAATAATAGTTTTTCTGTTGTCTGTGTGCTTTTATAAGTGATTCCTTTTTTCGTTAAAACACTTAGACAAGTCCCCTGCCGATTCGGAAAAATAAAGCAAACGCGTAATGTGATTTCCTCAAGTGTGGCTCTAAAACTTCTTAAATTCTCATTCTTGTTTTCATTGTTGTTGCAGGTGTAAACATGCATATAGCTGTTTTCATTTACTATGCCACAAGCAAACTAAAACGGATTACTTATTCACACAAAGAATCTTCAAGTAAAATAAGTCAATTTTCAATAAAGAGTAAGACAAGAGTTCTTGACGACCCATTGTATAGGTTTACTGTAGCTTCATAGAGTAGTACCAGATGGTTTACGTGAAGTAGATGAAGATGCCATCTACATCGCTTTGAGCAAAAGTCACTGCTAAACAAATAAATGTAAATGTAAGCAATGTCATTTCTAAGGCTTCTGTTTGTTCTCAAAACGAATGACATTTTCAGTGCTGAACTTCCTAAAGCGTTGCTGGGAAGACGTCTATTCCCATAAGACAGGAAGTAACTGCAGGAAAAAGAAACAGAAAACATCAGACAGGAAGTAACTGCGCATAAGGGAGATGGAAAATTTCGAACAAGAAGTAACTGCAGATAAGGGCAATGGAAAGTTTCAAACAGGAACTAACTGCACGTAAGGGAGATGGAAAATTTTAAACAGGAAGTAACTGCACGTGAGGTCGATGGAAAGTTTCAAACTGGAAATAATTGCACGTAAGGGAAATGGAAAATTTTGAACAGGAAGTAACTGCACGTAAGGGAAGATTCTGAGAGCCACAGTCGAAAAATGAGTGTCGGGAGAATGAAAGAAAGGAAACAAATGCTGGAAAGATGTGGCAAATATCCCAAAGGAAGTAACTGCTAGAGAACAAGAAGGAGAGAAGGCAACCAGGAAGTAACTTCTGAAGCGCAGGACGGAGGGAACGGTGGCAGAGCCTGACTGCCATTGGGCGCTGTCTCTCTTTGACTCCCCCCTTTGCTCGCTTCGCAGTGGGCTCCCGTCAGGCAGGGATGTCAGCCAGGTTTCACAGACAGCCTCTGTGCTTTTTGTTCTGCACCCGCACTACTGCCGGAGAGAGTCAAGTCAGCTTCTCACAGGGGTTTGCTGGAGTACAGAGACACGTGGAAGCGGTAGCCAGATGCTGGAGGCACATTTCCAAACATAATAAAACCGGATTGACGTGCGAGTGCATGTTTATGTAAATGAGGCATGTGCGATAATTGTATGTCTAATCAATACACCTAATTACGCTGATTAAATAAATGCATTCAAAATTCATCCTGAATATATATTCTGATATATTATTTCTTTGATTAGCTAAACTAGCTAAGTACAATTTCATCTCCTTCAAGTTGCGTATTTTACGTCTGTTTATTTTCCATTAACACGTGTAAATGAATTGTGTTAATTCAGTGTTCAGTGTTGACAGATTAGCGTTAAGCATGTGGTAAAATGATCATCGATGAGATCTGTCGCTGCACGCATCCCTCCCGCTTTTGTCACGCAGGTGTCCCAGAGATGCCTGAGATCGATGGACTCACGAAACCCGTCAAGGAGGGCGACCACGTCACGCTGACCTGCATCACCTCCGGGAGCAAGCCGGCTGCCGAAATCCGATGGTTCCGCAACGAAAAGGAGATCAAAGGTGGGGCGCTGAACCAAGCTGAGCTGGACCAAACTGGGCCAACATTATCAAACCAACCAACCCTTGTGATCTCCTAAGATACGACGGTTGTTTTGATAAGCTCCTCCTGGAACTCGTATTTATCATGTAGTTCAGTATTTTTACTTATCTGTCGCTAAAATCTAATTATTGCTTCCTAACAAATCTCAATATTTAGACAACTGTTGTTAACGAGGCGGCCTTTTCTGCGTTGTCTAAGGAGCCCATTTGTAAGTATTTGATTTTTAAATCATTTCTTCTTCCGCTTCCTTTTGTTACCTTCTGACTTTTCATAACAAATAGGTTAAGTAGGTGATACATGTACTAACATAAAATAATTGAATTATCTGTCCAGAGCAGATGACTTCCTTGTTGAATACCAGCCTTCTAAAAATACAGTCTGTTCTAATTAGTCGCAATAACACCATTTTGCTTGGGCAATTATCGTCTCTCCAGGGGGAGATGAGTTCTTTAGAGTGTTACGCGGATAAGAGGAAGTGATCCTTGGGTCACCCGCATTCCTGTGACACGTCGGCGTGACATTTTTGCTGAAATATCTGTCAGGAAGGCAAGGTAGGAGAAAAATGAAGATTTGTCTCAAATCTCTGCATTCAGAAAGTGGGATCAGCTGGACTCCGAAACAATGAAATGTGAGATTTTGCGGGGGGGGAAAAGGATATGTGTATAGTTATTGTGTCACTTCAGGCTTACCATTCCTGTCAAAGCTGCAGGGATGTCAGTCTTTTGCGACAACTTGACTGTAAATGTTTCCAAGCAAATTATAGTTGCGCAAAGTCAGGCCATCACGACTGCTTTTATATTCTCTGCGACTGCAAATGTTCCCGTGGTGTCAGTCATATCTAATTTTGCAATGTGGAAACTTTATCAGACAGGAATTAGTTCGAACAGGGGGCAGGAAAACGGACTGCGGGGTTTTGTTTGATTTTAATCAACTCTCGCTTTCCTCAAGTCAAGCTCATGATAAGACCGTAAGCTGTCAGATATGGTCACTGGGACTCGTCACTCTATTTTCCTTTAGAAGCATTTGTTTGTTCTTGGTATTTTCGATTAAAGGATTGTTGACTCAAAAGATGCAGAAAGTCAACAAAATAATCTCATTACAATTCTTTGAGCTCTTGATTACACCCCAAAAAAGGCAATTGTCTGAGTCTGACCTGTCATTGATTCGGGATTTAACATCATGATTTTTAGACAGCGAAAGGAAAATAAATAAATAAATAAATAAGGTCATTGGCAAAGTTGTCCTTGACACCGTAAACCTAATTAAATACCTGCTACTTGAAAACACCAACAGTATCCTTTAATTAAAATGAGAATAGTCCTAATTAAAAAACACATTTTTCAAATGCTAGACAGTTCTTGTTAATCACAGTGGACAGATTGATCATTGTAATCATTGGGAACAAAACATTGTGTTAAGATGGGCAATTATAGTTGGTTATTTATTTGCATAGGATGCTATTGAGGTATTGGTTGTGTATTTAAACACATCCTAAAGAATTATTCATCTTATGTATTAATTGTATTTCATTGAATCTTGGTTTCCAGTGATTTAAATGGTCAGAATGCCTAACAAAAATAAACCAAGTCAACTGGGGCTACTGGTTATCAAGCTGTAATGAGGTAACTGGTCCGCTCTTATCCTTTGTCTCTGATTCCAAGTGTCATCTCTGTTATTAAAGCAAAAAGTGCCAAGTTACCATCCCCATCCCTACTCTGCTGGGGTGAACTTTCCTATGCGTTGTGGTATAATGAGCGCTTACACACAGGTGAGGCCGTGACAGAGAGTACACATCGTCCACCACACTACTGTGTAATGTAAAGCTGCACTGTGCTGCACTGCACTGTGCTGCACTGCACTGTGCTGCACTGCACTGTGCTGCACTGCACTGTGCTGCACTGCACTGTGCTGCACTGCGCTGCACTGCACTGTGCTGCACTGCACTGTGCTGCACTGCACTGTGCGGCTGGTGGCGTTCCCACGCATCAGTCCTAAACGGTCAGCCCTTAGCAGTAGTCGTAAATAGACAGTGCTGCCTTGGTCAAGGCCGCGTGCTCGAGTTTGAGCTTGTGAAGGTTCTCCGAGGAAGTGTCACACCCTAAGGCTGGGGTGGAAACGCAGGCTTCCTCACAGACACCACCTTGGAGGAGGACAAGCTGGAAAGTAGCTGACTAGCCTCAAAAAAGAAGCTAATAATGGTGCTTAGACCTAATTTTCCCAGCCAGAAACAGTGCTAAATCTCGTAATTGGGGCTATGTTCTCTTAAATGAGCCTTTCTGAGGGGACGATTCCAGATGGCTATTTTGTGGAGTAAGTTAGACCGTGTCTTTAAAGGTAATACTGAACTGTTAATACATCTCAGAAATGACATACACACACTTGCGCCTGGAGAACATTTGGACATAGTCATGATAGCAATCACTTCCATTTATCTGAAAAAAGGTAGGGCTTGCAGTACACTTTCCCTTTGTCACAGGTAAATAACTATGATTAGATTTGTAAGTAGCAGGAATGGGGCAGTTCTGGCCAGTGTAAAAGTGCTTTAGCTCAAAGTCGACTGTCGAGCATTGCCTAGGTCTGCAATGGGTCAATTACAAATGACAAGGTTCAGCAATTTAATCGTGTGTTTTAACCACTTCTGTGGGGTCAAGATTCAGGAGGGGAAAGATCACTTCTGTGCACAGCTGATCAGATCACTATAGGAATAAAAATTATCAAAGACAAAACAGACATGTTTAATCACTGTAGTGAAAACTGTTAATATTGAGTTTGGGGTTTATTAAAATTACGGAATTAAAATTGATGTGAATTAGTCATTGTGTGAACTCATTCCTGGGATACATTTTCAAGAAATTTTCTGTGGACTTAATGGGTTTTGGAAATTTTTACGTTGGATACGTTCTTTGTTGGATTACATGAGGACTGAGTTTCGGTTAACATATCATGAGGAAGCCTGACCATCACTGGTTGTCTCATCTCAAAAACAACAAAAAAATGGGCCAATTTTTGGATATTTGCTCATCAGATGTGGTTTCACATTGGACAGTGGGGTGATGGTCCCATGTTGATGGCCACCTCCACACATGTCTGTGTCTGACCCTCTAACACCATCAGAGACTGGCCATTGGGGGTCCCTAACAGCAGTGATATACATACTATATCTCACACTCAGAACTAAAAGCTACATCTCTCACTCTCGTTTCCCACAATGCTTCTGCTCAAATCTGGCTGTCACCACGCCAACATCTTCAGCTCCTCCTTTGTTCTGACGAGACTGAGACATCCTTTGGAACCGAGTGAGGGCTGGGGTGACATTTCACCCTTTGCAGGCGTGTTTTTGGGAGCCAGTTTCCATTCTAATGGCAGGGCTGTCTGCAGTGAGATTGTTGCTTATTTGTGGCTCTTCATTCCGATAGGTCGTTGCAGACAGTGAGAAAATAGCGAGGGCTATGTTTGCCGTGTCCAGTTGTTCACAAGTCTGCAGTGCAAATGGGAAAACAATGTCAGGCAAACACCAGTTTTTTTCTGTGGTTCTGTGGATTTGTCCTTTGCCATAGTATGACTGAGATTGGCAACTGCTAGAAGAAAGTTTGCAATTTCAGCTGCAGGTTTAAGTTTGGAACCCTGTGAATAAAATGTCTTTCTGCCTACATTAAGCTCTCGATCTCAGCAACCAGCGTGGCAACAGATGCAGTACCACATGTATATTTATGTACTACGGAGTGCAAACTGAACATTTCCCATGAAAAATGCAATCCCAAATCCTCAGAGTCATGCTTCTGATGTGAATAACACATGTATCATAATGCTGTTTTCCGTCAGATTTGAACCCCTGCTACCGACGACAAATCTCTTTGGAAATTGTGGTTTTAATAACGATTTACCACGCTTTTCACTTTGAGAAAGGATGCTCAGAGGAAGTGGACGTCCGTTCCTCGCCATGGCAACCCACACGTCGTTCCGCACCATTGCCTGAAACGCAGGTTAGACACTGACGTAATATATTTATACACAAAAAAAAAAAACACTACAATAGGAAAAATCCATAAGTGGGCAAGAGCTTGTCACGTGGTAATCCATGAAGGAAGCCCTGGTGACTTTAAAAATAAAGGTTAGAAAAGATTCGCATGTCAAGAAGGGACAGTGATTTATGTACATGCGGGGAATCATTATGTAGCATGAGTGATGTTTTTTTTTTTCCAGCTTTCACGGCCTGAATAGGGCGGCAGAGCTCCATAGAGGACGCTAACGCAAAGTAACAGGCTCTTTGTAGCGTCTCTATCGGCTGAGTCAGGGCAAAGGCACACAGAGGCGTGGTCCCGGAGCAACAGACTAAAGCTGACCATTACGATAAGGGCTATTCACACCCAACTCCAGCGCACCGGCTAATTCGTCTCTGTAACATCTTCGGTTGTTTGTCACTGTCACTGCTTATTACTGACCTTCTGTAACACATGGGTTATGTCAGCAGTATCGGACTCCTGAAAATGGCTACAGCAATATAAGGATTAAAGTTTGCATGAATACAGAAGATCCCTATTTGTGAGTCAGAGGTCCTGACTAGCAGGTTATAGCAAACAATGTTATTACACTAAAGAAAAAGTCATTTTAAGGACGGGAACCTAAAAACTATGTGGCAGAAAAACAAATAAGCTACATCCTTAAGTGCTATTGCTGTGTGTTTGTTGCAGTATGAAAGTCTCCTTGTTTGAGACAGACATTTTCTCTAGCCATTGTGCAATTTCTTAACACTGAAGGAGTTCCTCACCTGTGCCACAAAATATACAAAATTATATAAGAAAGCTTGGAGCAGAACTTTTTTTATTTGCTTGCAAATTTCACTTGAGGAGTTGATGGTTTATTTCCAGATTGATGCAGACTGATTATGTAAGAGTTTGGTTAGATCAATGGTATAAGCTTTCATCCCTTTGAAGTGTTACAGAGCCCCGGCTGATGCTGC